TAATTGGTTCAGAGCTATGACAAAGATAGACGGCTGACAGAGAATGAGACAATTTATCTTTCAAAAAGCTTTACGGACTTCGCAATAGATTACACCTGTCTCACTTCAGCATGATCTGCCATCTGTTCATTCAATGGGATAAGTGCTTAAACTTCAAGGTTCAGTTATTAGAAGTATCTATTAAGAACAAGTAGGAGAGTTTTAGATGCAGTAAATTCATTTATTACTATCTTGTGGAGAACATGTCCAATTTCTCTGGGGATGAACCTCCCAGCAGGTAGGGACATTTTCAGTAAATATATTTTTAAAGAAACATTTTTAAAATGGGGATGGGAGGGGGAAAGAATGCAAATTTGGGATTTTATGTTCTCAGTTAAGCCTCAAACTATAAATTATTTCTGGCTAATCCAAATATCTTGTCTAGCCAAAATAAACGGGATATTTTTAAACAAAAGTTGTTTCCTCCTTTTACTAAATGAATCAAGACAAGTTTCTAGACAGAGAAGGCTACTGAACAAGATGAAATCATTTGTTTGTTTTACCTACTCAGACAAAAGTGGGCACATTCAGACCTTTCTCTCGTTGGGGTAAATCAGAAGCAATACAATTGAAGTCAAGGGTGTTACAGTATAAGTAAGGTCAGAATCAAGTCTCTCTTCACAATGATGTACTAGAGGTGAAGGGAAAAAATAGTGGTTTTTTGTTTGTTTGTTTTTTAAGCTTAATAGCCAGCATTCCAAATAAAGAAAAGCAATCTCTTTACAAATTTATTGCATGATTGGAGTCTAGGCTTTTAATGAAGAGTATTTCAGAAACCCCAATAGCAGTGGTAACTCAATGTGCCAAAGAAGTCACAGAACAATATCTGAAATCACTTCTTTCATTTTCTAAAATAAAATTAGGATTATAGATAACACATTCAAACCCCCAGAATTTACAGTAGTATAAACTTTTCCAAAGGAAAGCCATTTTGCTTCTGTATATGCAAGTCTTTTACATATATGTATAGGATATACATACATTTTATGCACATCTCTTAAAGGATGCACGTACCTAAATGTTACAATTTAATTGTAATAGTATGGACCACTAGTCTAACGTGAGGCACCTTTTGTCATTTTAGAGGACACTATTCAATTTATCCAGGTATGTGCTTACTGTTAAGTATTTAATCTCATAAATTAATTTTCATTTAAAAATGTATCCAGTTTGTTTTATAAAAAGTATGGAAATTATCTTATTAAATACTGCTTTATTTACCCTGTTACTTTAGTCATGTGCATGGTTATTCTGTCTCTTTCTACTTGATGGTGAATATTGAAGATAATATTCTATTTGTTTACTAATGTGTTTCATATGAAGCGGTGGTTGATGATGTAAGCAATGTTATGAAATAACTGCAAAAGACATTCTTTCTCATTCAGTTCTGCTCATTACGATATATACAGTTCTCCTCACTTTTCTTTTTGGAAACTAAGATGTGCAAACATATCAGGGCCTCACCTCTCATAGCTTCCAAACTGGCTTCAATACTATGTCCAGACAATAGATATTGGGATTTTCAAAGGTATCTCAGGATGTTGGGTGACTTCCTCCTGTTGAAATTCAGTTAACTCTCTGAGATGCCTGAGACTCCTAGCCAGAGCACTTGCATGATTGGATTCTAGATGATATATAGCATACATGGTCTGATCTGTAGCATGGTGGCCACTCTGGCCCTGACCCAGGAAAACACTTGAACATGTGCTTAACATATAGCAGATGAATACTGCTATTGATATTTTGCTGGTACTGGACCAGAGAGATAGATATATATTTTTATAGGACTGAATCTGTTTTGAGTATTTTTTTCCTTTTCCCTTGACAGTCAAATGTTTTATAGCATGTTACACTTTAATCAGGATTCGTTCACTTTACTCAGGCAAGTATGTCTTGATCCTGCAACACTTACTGTTGCAACCCAGAATGCAACCAGGCAGATATTTTTAAGGAAGGGAGAGAGTGTCTTACTCCTTTGAAAATCTCAAAATATATGGGACCTCTGAATAAAGACTACTTGTAAGTAGTGTGCAAGAAAAGACTATCCAAGTCTCACAGAAAACAACTGATTTCAATGGGACCATTTTTCTGGGACAGGAAAGGAGATTTGGCTAGAAATGTTCTGTAAAAGGCCAGATTTACTTCAGTCTTATAGCATGCAAAATTAAGCATGATTTCTGACCTATTTTTAATCAAAGCAAACATACTAAAGCTAAAAGATAAAAATGAATTGACACATTGATACAGTAAGCTAAAACCAGCCTGTGCCAAGAGAGTAAAATAAGAAAACCACCATCAGAAAACCACCACCACAAACATCTAATAAAAAGATTAAAGGGTTTCTCTAATAAAGCACAAAAATAGTATAGCAACAAATAAAATGGTATTTCACTCTACATTGCACATGTAAAAGCAATATATGTCGCCTGGGGAAAACTCCACCTTTTCATAATGCAGATGTCAAGCTAAACAAATTCTTACATTAAAAAAAAGATGATTCAAATGAAACAAAATAAACTTCTTGCAGTATCTCTGAGTACAAAACATCCACACTTTAGTTTAATTAAGAACAAGTATGATGAGGTGAATAAAGAAATTTAGGTTTATTAAAAAAAAAACCAAGCAAGAAATTACCAAAATAGCTCTTAGTTTCAAAACAGCATGATTTTAACAAATTCCTGCCAAATAGGAATCACAAGCAGGTACTTTTTTTTTTTAATGGAAGGTAAAAATAAATCAAAACAACCAACATCCAATAGGAATGGCTTTCCCGCATCCCCCCTCAAAGAGGTTCAAAAGGTTAAAAGATTTTAAATAGGATTCAATATTATTAAATTGTACTTGACTTTCCTACATATAACATTTGTTAAACTCATTAAAGCAGAATCTATTTAATGAACGAAGTAGGAATGTTCCATGTCAATGGCGGGCAACAGAATTACAATTCCAAAACCAAAACAAATGCAAGCCTGATAAAACTATCTTTAAAAGTTTCAACCAAGTATTTGCAGAAGCAAATTATGCACAGCATATACTCTCTCAATCATACCTGCAGACAGTGTTAAACAATTGTTGCAGAAAAGCTCAAAGAACTTCTTAAGATACAAAGCGAAGTCTGCTTCATTTTATACCAGCAACAGACTGCTGCAGTACCCAGTATATTTTTTTCAATCAACTGTTACAGCCTTCCACCAGCCCTGTGACCTTTGAACTCATTTCTCCCCCTTCTGCAGTCAAAGCTACTGTGCTTGTCTCATTTACATAAGGCTGGTGAAGGCCTGCCAGCAACAAGAAGGGAATGCTGGGTAAGAAATTGTAGAGCTGCAGTTCAGTTAGAATACCTGAATCATTGGAGAGCTGGGGGGGGCTATAGCCACTACATACTGGTTTGATTGGTAAGTCAAAAAAATATCTCCTGCTGTAGTAATTAATAGGTAAATGTTTTCATTTTCAAGCATATTAAGCAGCACCCAAAAAGAAAATCAATCTGCAGCAGCTGGTTTACAAGGAGACCAAAATAGTCAAATATTTCATTTAAATACATGTGGCAAGCTAATATATGATTGTCAACAACTGCCCTCTGTGTCTAAATGTAGCCTTCCATACATTTTAATAAAGTAAAATATTTATAGATCAATCTGTATTTTATTTTGAAATTCAGGCACTTAATTAATGCATAGCTTTTTGCAAGTGTCTCAGTGTGAATTACTATCAGTTGCAGACACAATAGTAAAACTGTATTAGTGTAAACAGATCACGTGCAGAATTGCTTAATAACTAGTTAAATTATTACTAGTCCCTCCTAACACAAATCTCAATTAAATACTATGCCAACATTGTAAATGCATGGGTATTTATTAATATCTAGAAGTAGAGCATGAAGATTTTATATTGGTAAAATGTTCAGAGAGGTTATTTGTAAAAATTATGTATCCCGATTAAAATGATACAGAAATGTTGGTGTGCCTTTAGGAAGGAGGTTCAGTGTTTTATTTTCTGCTTCTTCTCTTCTCTCCTTCCCCCCCCCGCCTTACACACAGCATCCTTCCTATTAAAGGATTCAACTTCCCTATGCTGAATTACTCATTAGAAACGAGTAATTCAGTTTCTTTCAGTAATTGTCGGTTTATGGTCTTGTGCCTTTTGAAGTGTTTGAGCAATGAGAAAAACACTGATGTCAAATCATTCAAGAACAGAAAGTTTGAATAAAGCTGATAGAGTCAATTTCTATTCCACTAATGTAATAGGCAAATTCAATATCTACACTATGTATTAAGGCAATCATAGGCCACTAGGATCTTTGGACCTATTTTTATAAACAAAAAAGTGTATGTAATTAACTATAAGATTTAGTAACTGAAATGAATACCTTCTTCTTGAAAAATACAATAAAACATACTATGTCGTAATAATATTGTCAAAATGAGCCGAGTGCACAGTTTCATAATGAATCATTTATGTGTGTACATATAGTTTTAGAAGCACCATTTCCCAAATACAACAGGAAAAACATAATGAAAAATAAAAGTGCATTTGCTATTGATATGAATATATTTTTTTTAATGGAAAAGAAATAGCTAAGATGCCACATGTTTCTCATCTAAAAAATATTGAGTTTATAGATGCATAGGAATAACAGATTATTGCTACTAAATAGCTGATACTATTTCCATGTTGGCAAAGTGATCCATTTTAGTCTTCATTTTATTTCTGACTATTCCGTTTTTTATGGATAAATGAAATTTTTGATTACAGGGTAATAATAGCAAAAACATATGTACAACAAATCTGATTACAGTACTTATACAATTCATTTAGCTAGGCTTCAAATGGATATGCATCATTCAAACTCTTCCTTACCAAATGCAAAAAATGTTTTTTATTTTTAAAGAGCATATATACCTAAATACCGAACAAATTCAAAACAGTCCAGTGAGTGAATAAGCTGTAAAACAACTGACCTGTTCAAATTGTTGTTTTTCCAATCCATGCACCCTTTTTATTAATTAGGAACCGAAACAGATTGATCATCATTTTATAACGTGTGCCATATTCCCTGTCTTCCTAGTTCCAACGGAATCTTCTTAAATTTCCCAGCACTGTGTTTTATTGCTGGTACCATATGCTTTATTGTTCAGCGACAAGAGCTTCACTCTGCACAAAGACTCATTACCTACTGCTTGCTGAGCAGCTTCAGTCTCACTGAGGCTGCCTATGTGATCACATGGGAGTTTTGTCTGAGAAAGCCAGGCATGCCACTGATTTCACTGTCTATGGATATTTTTATCAGCTGAGGTCTACTATAAGGATGTAATAACAAATTATAAATTTAACTCATTAAGGACAGACAAATAATGGAAATCCCTTTACAACTCCTTTTCTCCCTCTCTACAGAAAAGCTTTCCTTAGGAACTGAAAAAAAGTTTAAAGAAACAAATAATAATTTTAGTGGGAAGTAGTGATAACCTGCATTGTCTGTGTTATTTCTCACAACACATACATTTATATCAATGTTCCAAGGAGGTCATATTTTGCCTACATACCTATGCTCCCAGTATTTATCCACACATAGAGGACAATGATAATTTCTCCAGAAAACAGACACCTTAATTTTATCACTGTATCATCAGTCAAGGGCGCACAACTAGTCTTACTGATTTCAATTAAAGTGTGCAGGCATCTAAGGATTGCTCAGTTGAGCAAAGTTCACAGGATCAGGGCTTGAATCTATATGATAAATTATACTTGTTGATGGAGCCTTGAATCTACTTTTTATAAAGCTGCTGATATTCAGTTATTGCATTTTGCTTATAAAATTCCTTTATATTTAATTACCCTCACCCTTTCATATGTCTGCGGGGGGGATAACTATATTTTTTAAAAATCATGAAAGTACCTGCATGAAAAAAATGCACGTCAATGACTATCACTAACATTATTACCACCAATGATTAATTTCAGATAATTCTGAAGCAGCTTACTTCCTACCTCAGAAGGCATGCACAAAACATTCTTCGTTTGCGTAATTAAAAATGTTAACATAGTGTTGCTCATGATAACTGAACACTTTTCTTTTCCTCGGAAGACTTATACCTCATAAATAATTATTTATAATATCTACAGTGCAAAGGTACGGGTTTTCTGTGAAAATAGTTAATTATCTCTAGAATTATTTATAGCATTTTGAAAATATAAATGGCAAACGGGAACACTGTTTACTCATTAATATTCTACAAATGGAAAATACCTACTTGTTATTCCTTTCAACATCTTCCTCATTAGAATAATTGACAGCTTGTTGCTATTGAATGGATTGATCCTGCTTCCATTGAAGTAATTTTTAACATTGACATCAAAGGGAGCAGGATCAGGCTCTGCTGCATGAACACAGAGAACCGTGGGCCTGATTCTGATGCCAGAGAAATCAATGGCAAAGCTCTCACTAACTTCCCTGGCATCAGGATTAGACCCATCATACTAAACACAGGCCTACAGTAATGCAACCAAAAGGCAGTCTCTGAACTGTAATGAAAACGCAGATCGGATGGGAATACAATAAGTTGGCTATTTCATTCAGGAAACAGTAACCACACAGAAATGTTATTAGCATTTGCAAAACAGGAGTATGCACTTGATACATAAAGGTAAAATTAGCCTGTATATGAGGAAAAATACCCACAATTAAGGCAGGTTTGTCTGGTGATACAGTTGCTGCAGATTCTAAACCTTTATTTAAATGCCACCATTTTGATATGATCACACCAAAGTAACTGAAGACACTGACTGAGCAGATGGCTCATGGCTAAGGACCTTCTACAGCTCTTAAGCAGGAAACACAATAACAATATACATTAATAAGAAGAAATAGAGACAGCCTAGACAAGTTGCTAACGAACAGCTGGTTTAGCCACAGCTCTACATATTTTCCCCTGCTAATACTATTGATGATGTCATGATTCTAGTGTAGAGAGAAATAAACAAAAGGCAGACATTTTTGCTGCAGCAGCAGTGAGAAAACAGCAGAATAAAATGTTTAGCAGATGGAGGAGAACAAAAATTGGTAAGGAAAAAGAATGTGTTTGTCACGTTTTCTGGGTGGCATTATATACAATGAAACATAAAAGGGAAAGAAAGACTAACAGGAGGCTGGAGTAATAATGATTCAGAAACATACACAGCTAACTGGTTACCAGAAAAACGTTACTTCTGTAAAAAGACAACAGCAGCAAGTCTTGCTACCACACAAAACGTATATCAGTCGAGCAATCCAACCCTGCAAACAATGTTTTATCCTTCCATCCTGGAAGCTGGGATTTCTGAAAAGGTTACATTACAATAAGGATGCTAAAAATTCTCCCTCCCACAGCAAAACCTCAGAGGAGACTAAGAGGCAGAAAGTCACCAGAAGAATCCCCATGTAGAGCTTATGCCAAACCTTCTCTCGGGGAAGCTGCATTTGTGCTCCCATAAATAGAGACCCGCACAGGTTTCCACAATAGATTAAAGCCCTAGTATCTCTTGTCACATTGTGGCAGCAAAACTCCAATGGAGTGATTGATGCTGCCAGGACTCTAAGGCCAGGTACAGCCATTACACTTTTACTAGTATAAGTGACTGGAAATCGGTCTATACCTGTAACAGAGCAGAAGTTCAGCATGCGTAGATTCGCTTAAAAATGGTGGAATCGGGTCTAAGTTCTGCTCCCCACAACCAAAAGGCGAATGCGTCTTCTATTCATAACTGATTTAAACTATGCTGCTTACAGAAAGCTGCATTGATTTCGCCTCAGACTTTTTGAATGTCTGTACCTAACCTTACTGACCTTGACTGAATGTAACGTTCTCTTAAATAAGTCCCATGTCACAAGAAACTCAGAAAAGTATACGTAGGGTGACTATAATAATTTGAGGGAAATCTGGGATTGGAGGGGTGCCAGTGCATGCACACACAGTCCCTCCCTAACACCACGGCTCAGGGGCAGAGCTGGGCAGGACAGCATGGCACATCCCCCCCGCCACATACACACACCCACGACTCTGTGGCTCCTCCCCACCTACCCCAACTCTACTGCATGAGCAAGTGCTCACAGCCCAGTGGAGCCAGGAGCTGGGCACATGAGGGCGGGTTTGTGCCAATTCAGGACTTTTGCTTCAATTTTCTCCAATGGTTGGATTGCTGAGACAGCCTCCAAAAACCAGGACTGTCCTGGCCAATCTGAGACATATGGTCATCCTAAGTATACAGGTCCAGACCTGTCCTGGAAAATATCTGTGAGATTAAGGAAACAGTGATATGCCTCTAATTGGCCCTCCATTCACCTAGGGCTGGTTATTTAGACTTTGCCCTCCTCCCTCATTTATCTTAATCTTATAGACCACAGTCTGCAGAAGATGTGGGAATCAAGGGGATAGCAGTGGCCCAGCCTAGACATACCCCATTTTCTGCATGCCTGGTCTAGAGGGGCCCCCTTTTTCTTTTGGTCATGAAAGCACATTTTGGCCCACTGTTTTAACTACATCAGTGCTGAATTAAAGGCCTGTGGTAAAACATACCTAACAGGGCTACCACCATCTGTCAAATACTTCATTTGCCTTGGAACAGCAACTCTTCAGAAGAGCACTGTGACTGCACAGAAGCTGCAGCAAAGCTTGTCAGTACAGAGCTTTGTGTATGTATATGAGTCATGGAGTGTGAATAGTTACAAAGGTTTGGACTCAAAGGAATTATTTCCTTCATGGGAGAGAAATAATGAGCTGCTGACTGTTTTACCCCATTGTAGTTTATTTTAATATATATACTTTTAAACACGAATTATATAGCAAAAGCATAGCACATCTTATAACTCAGAACATCACTTCTAGGATTCTCAGAATCAGCCGTGTATCAAAACCAAACTATTTCCACATCTCATACCATTAAATCCTTTGTTTGATATTCTACCCAAGCTGTCATTCAGCATTACCCTGCAGCCCAGTCAGGTGACTCACATGCCAATCAAAACAACCTCTGGATTGCTGTTGATCAACCTTGTTAAACAAAAAGAAGCAATTTGCAGCTCAGTGGGGCTTTATTCTAAGGGTTGGATCCTGCAGCCTCTCCTATAATAATGGAAAATCCCAAATGTACCAGAAATAGCACAATCCACACTGTGCGAAGGAGAAAAGCTGCGCAGCTGAAGCCTCTGTAAAAGCACATTAGACAATGTCAGCAATCCAGGATTTGTGTAATGGGTCAAGACACACCTTCACTGGACCATGACCTCTCCTGCACAGCATGGTCAATTGGCCATAGTTGTTTCAAACTATGTCCTCAGGTTTCAAGTTCAGGAGTGGGAAAGCAAGCTGCTTTTCCCAGTACATATGTAGCCTACCCATGCAAAACCCTCTTATAACAGGCTTTCAGTGGGAGAGAATGAAAATCCTACCCAAAATCTTAGCTTTTTAAAGAAAGTTCTGTCACTAGAAAAAAAAGGTGCCGGAAGACACTATCCCTAATTCTCTAACTTCTTCAGTTTTGGCGGTGTTAAAGTTTAAAGCAGTGGTACTCAACCCTTTTAGCTGGCAGACTGAATGAGCAGTGCCTGATCCCTCTGCGTGCCAATCTGGTGGGTACCCATCCAGCCTTGCAGAGCAGGGAAGGGAGCAGCCTGGCCCCAACTTAGCCGTGTAGTGGAAGGGGGCTTGGGCTGGCCCCAACCTAGCCCTGTGCAGGGGGAGGGGAGAGGCAAGGACCTGGCCCCAACCTGGCCAGGCAGAGTGAAGAGGGCATAGCCCAGCCCTGCGTCAGGGGTGTGGAGGGGACATGGCCCAGCCTCAAACCACCCATGAAAGGGGATGGGTAATGACCTGGTCCCAACCTGGCCAGGTGGAGGGAAGGGGACATGGCCTGGCCCCATGGTGGGGGAAAGGGGCATGGCCTGACCCTACAGGGAAAAAGGGATGCTTCCTGGCTCCAAGCTGGTGGCCCGGAGGGAAAGGGTCTCGTAGCCCAGCTCAGACCCATCCCACAGGGCTAGGACTTGTGGCTGCAGGGAGGGGTGACAGTTCTGCCCCTGCTCCCCCACCACCAAATTTTGCACCCCATGAGGAGCCCTGTGGGCTGGATTCCAAGGCTCTGCAGACCACTGGAGGTTGAGCTCCCCTGATTTAAAGGGTTTTT